CCTATACTCGCATGCTATGTCATTTGTGTATAACTTCTCCAATATAAACTTCAGTAAATAATTGTTATATCATATATTTTTTGCTATGAACAATACACAAACGTCGTAAATTCCTTTCTCAGACCTTTGACTGCATGTGCATTCTACAAGCACGCGAACCCATGCCAGCGTGCCCTTGGTAGTTGGCTTCTGCTCGGAACAATGACTACCGTGTCGTTTTCCTTTCCTCAATCCTTATTACCTATACTTATACTCGGGTATTACTTAAAACCTTTATTTTTGATTTAAATAATTTCTGATCCAGCTCTATCAACATATTTTACCATAGACAGATAGACTATTCAAAATTTAATCTTCTCCATTATTTCTTCATCCAAAAAGTTGTTTAACATTCGCCCAAGAATTTACATGGAATTTCTTACCACTTCAGCTGTATTGTTCACCATTTTATGATGTACACTTTTTTAACTCGGGTTTGAAGATAAAAGTCTAATAAGAGGTCCCATGTAGGCTTCACGGAAAAATGAAACGAGTGTATGATTCATTCCAATATGATGGTGGTAGATTGAAACAAATGTAAACTCTTAGTTATGCGTTGAGTTGCATAATATGTATTACTACTAATCATATTTTTTTTTTTGTTTTATCTTTGAATGCCAATCTCGAATCTACTAAAATCGAAATTCATGGTTATTGCGTACGGTGTAATGATTCTCCGTATGGGAAAATCGAGACCTCTGTGATGATTGTAATAATAATGTATTCCAATAACCTCGAGATAGACTGAGAAAAGTAAGTGCGCTCGTTTCGGCTAAACAGAAACTGAAATTAATAACTGTGGTTATTTTCTCGGACAATATTACATGTAACCGTGGTGGACGATATTTTGTATTTATTTATTATTTATTAAACCCTTCTAGTCAATCAGTGCGGTGTCCTTGGCTCGGGCGGCACACAGCAAAAAAAAAACGATGATTACTCAACTTTCTTTCAATTCCATCACAATATATTAGTACATGTGTGTGCGTGTATATTAGTTTTCTAAAAATGTTATATTATTAAAATATCCGAGCCCGTCTTATCGGGATAGTCCATATTATAATATACCTACTCGCGTTATGGTCTCAAATGAAAAGAAAGCGATCAATCATGCGGCTCGTCTACCGACGGTATCCTTTTTGATAATAATATTTTTATTTGGTCCTAATGATTATGGAAGAGTGAAGAGTGTGTGTGCGCATATGGACCGGTAGGTGCAATGACATTTCTTTCTGGGTAAGGGTATAATATACAGGATGACTCATTTAGGATAAGACATTCAATAACTCTGTTCCTATTTGAAAACGTGTCTGTTAATTAAATATTATATTATTATACAATTATTAAATATTAACTTTTTTTTTTTAAATTTTCCAGGACTCTAATGACTTTTGAAACTTAAATGGAAACATGCATAATTATTATTTAGTTGACTTTTTAAATTAAGAATACTTAGCTGAAAATGTTGACTAGCCGATAACCAGCTTTGGATAATTGCTTAAAAGTAATTATTAAGTCATTTAAGTTTAAAATTTAGGACTGGAGAAAAGGTGGAGTGTAGTATTATTTTTATCGACGCGCACTACACTACTGCATTCCACATGCCGTCCTTAATTTTAAACTTCAATAACTTTAAAAGTAATTATCCAAAACTGGTTATCGACCAGTCAACATTTTCAGCAAATAATTCTCTACACATGTAAAGAATTAATTAAATATATTAAATATTACATTATATATATATGCATAAATTATACATTACCATTTAAATTTTTTAATTTGATAGAGCTCCAGAGGAAAATAAAAAGGATACACATATCAATATTATGCGATCATTGATTAAATACAACTTATACTTAATCAATGGTGCGATATTGTAAAAAAACATAAAATAAAGTGTCTTCAAACAGAAAAACTACAAAGTTGCAAATATTTTGAGAGAAAATTTGTGTCTTATAATGAATTACCATAATATAATATTATTATTACTTTTTTTTCTTTGGTTTTTTTTTATATTTATTAATGTTTTTTATTTTCGGTGTTATACTTTTCAATTAACCGACCATAAACGGAATAGAAACCGATCGCGCCCGGTGAAAATCGCAAGTCACGCGTTATCAAGTGCTCTCCGGATCTTATTGTTCCATCGCATAATGTAAAGTGTCTGCGGCTCATTACGGTCGCGTACGTTCTCCGGGCTCGTTATTATCATTATCATTATTATTATTAGTAGTATTTTATCTATTTTTGCCCCGACCTCCCCCCCCCTTATTTTGTATATGTTATGCGCGCTGTTACCGGCTGCAACTATTCCAAACAGATCACACGAGTACAATCAATCATCTAATTTCTCCTGCACTCTTGCACTATAATCGTAATGCACTATAAAAAAAAAAAGAATAACAATAATACCTAATAATAAAAAACTAACCCGCCGTGTAATTAGGCCCGTTAAGGTTCGTCTCTGTAATAGTAATAATAAAACATAACAATGAGGTTAAAACGGACGCAGTGGTATTTGGTAATCGCAAATAAGGACCGAACGGGGTTGCTCCTAGCAATTAGGTGACCATTCAAGTTTGTGTGTGTATGAATGCACCGTGCATTAGCTTGTTGTAAGTTTTAACGGTTAGATAAATCAAAATATTATGATGTGCATTTGGTCGTATAATTTATCGTTAGGTCATCTCATAATAATGTAACAGAGATTGAAAAATAAAATAAATCTTAAAAAAATGTTTTTTTTTTTAAAATTTGCTTACACTTTGAAAATTGGTCTACTTAAATCGTTGTTTCTCAGATTGATTTCTGTTGTGTTTCATCTGTCCTTTGCCCCAGAAGTTAGGGTTTCTTTGGATCCAAAGACCTTCACCCAAGCTACAAACGATAACAAAAATGTTACCTTGTAATATTAAAGTTTAAAGTGTTGACATCTTAATTTGTTTTAAATCATAAATAGTGTAAATATCAACTATATGTTTTCTGACTGATACAAATGCAGAATAAAGGAATCCGTTATATAGTCAAAAGTTATAGCGCGTATTAGCACATAAGATAAATGAAAACCACTTACCAGTAGTGAATATTAATAGTAGTTAGTACATATTTATTTTGAAACTTTGTAATAAGAAAAAAATTATTCGATTTTTTTAGTATATTACAGGTACTATAATTTGTCATAGTTAATATAATGATTATAATAATAATTACATCATTACCTATAAGTAACCTTAAGGTTAGGTGTACCGAAGATACTTTTTCTTATTCACTTTTCTCTACTTTTTTATAATAGTTAATTAAAATGAAAGTTTAATAAATTCGTAAATTACAGTTTATATCTTGACTAAAAAAACTAAAATAAAACAATTTGTATACTAGTTTCCTAAATAAAAAAAAATATTTAAAGAGACTTTAACGAGGGCTATTTTTTATTGGTTTATGTACTTAGCTTTGGTTTTAGAGAAATAGTTCCTAACGTATTTGTACGGATATATAATATAAAAACAAGGTGTTACTTTTTTTATACAAGACAATCATTACATCTTAAAGATGTAACTTTTCTCTTGCAAACTGGTTAGTGGTTTGTTTATATTGACGAATTTGCAAATGTATCTGTTCTAACGTTCGCAACGATAAGACTATTTATTAAGGGGCAAAGGATAGGCAATATTTGATAAAAGTTTATCTAGTAGTCATTTTAAATATGCCGCAACCTACTTTAAGGCGAAAAAATATTATTTTTTAATTTAAGACGTTTTAAACTAAAATGTTTAGTTATTTTTCTCCGAGTTGTACGGCAAAAGTTTGATAAAAAAGTGACTTTCGTAAAAGTAATTTTCTGGCTTATCTATTAAACGGATTTCAACTTTTTTTTAAATAAAGCCTACGATTTTTTCTATGAGGACTAAAGGTTGATTTTTGATTTAGCTATTAGGAAATTAGTTTTAATTTTAAGAAAAAACTATAAAATACATTCATGGCTTATCATTATTTCAGTCAATAGCACCAATAAACTAAATGTAAATCAACGATCAAGTTTTTACATGATTAAGTGCAGTACAATTGAATTGGCTCCCAAACCGGGGTAGTCGATATTTTTATTCTTAAGGGGATTGAAAGCGGACGTTTTTTTTTTCAGTTTACACCAAAAAGCCTGACAAAATTGCCGTTACTTAGGATGGTCCGATTTCATTTCTGTAAAGAGATATGAGTTCTTTAGCTACTTTACTTAGTTATGTAGGAAAAGAATTTTTGATTTTTTTTTCTTAAAAAAATTGTTTATTCATGTTGAAAAATTAAATTTTTTCAATTACAAGAAACTAATTTTTTTAATTTTTAAATGAAAATCGGGTTACTACATAACCTAGTAAATATTTAAAGTACTGTGTGTTAATTCGTTTTAAAAACGACTGGGATTATATTATTTGACTAATCGAGTGGACTATATATGCACATGTCTAAACCACCTATCCGTATTTTATTATGTTATAGTAAACTATTCTCTATTATATTATATAGTAGTTACGAGTGTATGTAAATTCGTTACAGGGAGTGGCAGAAAATATATTTTTGGCTCAAGCCTTTGCTCGTCCAGTTTTTGAACACATCGCTCAAAGTAGATAATATTTTACAAAAAAATTAATTTAAAAAAAAATACCACCGTCCAACGCGTTAAAACAAAAACGATTTAAAATAAAACGAATATACTTTCTTAATAATAATAATATAGATAAACGTCTCCTCTCACTTTCCGACCCTACTACCGGCGCTATTCCTACTCCGCAATATAATAATAATATGGTATCTATTCTATTACTACTATATAATACCGAGTTGTGCTATAATGTATATATATATATATATATATGTACTGAACTATACTAACGGGCGATCCTCCCACTAAACCGGTGGTACACACACACACGTTTTGATCACAGCCGGTATGCCTGTGTTATGTCGGTTACGGCCGAGAACAAGTTGAGGGCGTCGGGCCAGTGATCACGCCGAGTCGCACGCGCTAAGACCGTCGGTACCGCCGAGGTGTTGAAGATCGAGTTACCTACAGCACACGTTGCCATTGCTTTGAATCAAAAATATTAAAACGTTTAAAAAAACAAACTAATCGCGATAATAATTAAACAACAGAATACTCGGGACGAATAAGAAAATAATAATAATAATAACCGACCAATATTCGGATATATCATATTTGTAGTTGTCGTTAAACGGAACGCAAAAGTTTTGATTTTACATGATTGAAATTTTGTTTTTTTAATCAAACTCCGTTGTCGATTTTCCCATCATGGAGTGCAAAACGTTTAAGTCGACACGATCGGTGCACCGGTGACCGGAGAACGGATTAGATGAAAAGGCCGCCGATCATTTTACATATTATTATTATCTGTGTATTTGCCGCGTTGTGGATTAAAACGGTCCAACAGCCATGTTGATCGTTTCGTAAAAAGGTATATATTTTTTTATTTACCATATTATATAGTTTTGTAATATTAATATAGGACCCGTTTAAATAATAGCTGACCGTTGTTGGTTTCAGCCACATAATATTTTTGCGCGCCCTTTTTTTGACATTTCACTTCTTTGACCAACTTTTACACCATACTAACTTGTACACTATAGTGTACGCGTGTAGGAATACTTTCTACAATGTCGACGACAAATCAATTTACATAAAGTATTGCTAATTTTACACGTAATCTATGTTATAATTTATAGTTCTATATTTCGTGTAAAATGTAAATTAAACCGTGCTACGGGATCGATTTTAACCGCAATCCTTGTAATACACATCAGTCATAAAACAAATTATTCATTTAAAACTAGTTGTATTTTTTGTTAAAATACAAAATTTGGTAAACCGCCTAATCGTAATCCTACCACTATAAAAATTGTCATAAATTATTAAATTATGAATTATATAATTTATGTTCTATGTATAGTGTATAACATAATAAGACATCCATTTAACAAAAGAAAATCATTTTTTTTCGAAAAATAATTATAATTTAGTCATTTATTTTGAAAACTTTATTTATATTTATTTTACTTGTAGAATTCTGTAAAATGACTAAATATTTACCTTTATTAAGTAATTTTCAAAGCTTAATCGAGAATATATATATATATTTAATAAACTTTGTAAAATTAAAATAATTTGCTGAAAATTGTAGCAAATTTTGAATAATTTATTTTAAAAAATATTAAACTTTAAATTTTAATGTTAGGACAGGTGGAAGGGTGGAGCGTATTATTATTTTTATCTGCGCGCATTGCTCAACTCCACTAATCTCTCTTCCTACGTTTTAAGCTGTGATTACTTTAATATAATTAAACTGAAAACAAAATTAAATTAACTTAAAGTGTAATTACTCAAAACTGGTTATGTATCTATCAAAAATGTCAGCAAGTTATTCTTCCTTTGTAAAAATATACTTATTTATAATATACGTTCACATTTAAGTTTCAAAAGTTGATAAAGCACTGGAATATAAATACAAATGTTTACAAATAAAAAAAACTATAAAAATTGTAATCATTTTCCGAAAATAAGGATCATAAATTTATATATACAGAGTATATAGAGTGATCTATAATCCATTTAATGTAAGATCCTTATTTTCGGAAAATTATTACAATTTTTATAGTTTTTCTTTATTTGTAAACATTTGTATTTATATTCCAGTGCGGTATCAACTTTTGAAACTATATATATAAGTTAGGTAGCTGACCCTGAACGTGTTATGTATCATTTAATTCATTGATTACTAACTAAAAAAAATAAATAAAACGACACATAGTAAAATTATGTACTTTCTCAACTTCACGTTGAAGATAAACATAATTAGTAAATAAACATATATGTATATCTTCAGAGTGACCTAGCAATCGTTACAATTTGCAATAATTCTTTAAACAATTTATTTTTTATTATTTATTTGTTGAGAAATTTAAATTGAGATTGTAGACTACAAACAATTTATTTTTGGAATAAATTTGTGTAGCAACAAAAAAAAAAAATACTACTTGTTAAAACTAACAAAACTGTTTAGAAATGAGTAAGGGTTTCTGAAAATGTCTGGTTTGTATCGAATTAATAAGTATATAGTTTTAGGTGTTCTGTGTTTCAATGTGTAGGCGGACAAATTAAAATTATTTTTCCTTATAAAACCCTATAAAAATGGGCTCGTATACTCATACACTTAAATATTCTTTAGCACCGTGGTCCCTTTAACTGGATTAGCTTGCTTGGGCCCTTACAATAATTCCAGTATGTATAGTGTAACATGGGTGTAGGTATGTACTCTAAAAGTTAAAAAAAACTGACTAGGAGTCAATCAGATGCTAAACGGAGTAGGTCCAGTTTTGACAAAAATCAATTTTATACACTGTTTGTAATAGTCGGTTGTTTTGACTTCTAATTAGTAATGTAAACAGTAAAATATATTTATTCGCCTATGGCCCAGAGTTGTTATAAGTATATAAGTCTCAATGCATCATAATAATTAGCTAATGATAAAAACTACTGAATTATAATTACATAAAAACTAGTTTTCTCATATATATTTTTTTTAATCCGTGGATGTTTCATTTAACGAGTTTACTATAACTGTATATAACATGTAATATATGTAAAACTTTTTTTTATTATATATAGTTTCATTGACAGGATTTACTGATTTAAATAAAACGGCTCACGTTTTTATTTTGATTAATTCGCATGAGTAGGTCAATAAACATCATATAATTATAGGTATACCTAATAATATGATAATTAATAATAATAATAATATAAAATAATATGGGTGTCACAGTTATTACTAAAAATGTTACAATTATTTTGCTTATGATTTTTAAATATTGCATTTCGTTCAATTATTTTAGCTTAAATATAAGTTAAAGAAGTAGTAATGTTAACACCACACGACACTTTTATGTCAGATTACAAAAACCAAAATGTGTGTACTTTCAACAGTCAGTTGAAATCAAATGCGTCTTTCCATTTTATACTATGAACTAATGAATATTTATTTAAGGATTCTTTATATTCTTTAACTGTTATGCAAATTGACGATATTATCGTATTATTTTTAAATGTTTGATGAACAATAAGATTACTTACATACTAATTGATGTAATGATGTTCGATAAGTTTAATTATATTGAAAGTATCTTTCAAACCGCGTGTAACGGTGAATTGAGATGTTAGAGAACTTTCTCGGGGCAAGCAAGTGCAGTTTGTAGATACATTAGTTTCCTCCCACACAAAACATGACTTCATTATTACAAATTTGTATATCTTCGCCGTGAGTTAACATTGAAACAATGACCGGAAGTCGGTGTGGCTACCTTGTTGTTATATAAAAATGGCGAGAAATTACAATGATAATAATTGTTATTAAAATTTAATACATCAGTATTTTCTAAGACATCATTGACTGCGGTGCTTTTGATATCATAATTATTATTGTGGTTTGAAATCAAGTGAAAAACATCACAACATTACAGTGCGAGCCCTGAGAAATGGATTTACATTAATTAACAGACTCTTCTATCAATAACGACATGTCCTACACTTATTACGCATACACAACCCACAATAGGTTATATTACTAATTTTTCGAGACTTTCAAAACTTCCCATTTGATTCTCACTCAGTAATTTTATTTTATTTGTACTTTATGGAAAATTAAATTTTTATTTTTCACCTCATCTTAATTATTATGTTGCCGTTTTCTAAAAAAGTCGTATGTGAAATTAAAATCTTTTTAAAAAAATGTATAATATACTTTTTATAATAAACTATAGGAATTAAAATAGAAAACGGCAAATGCGTGAGCGAAACGTTTAAAAAAACGTCACTGATTTATACCGAACAGTTGCCGCTTGATTATCAATGGCAAGGATAGAAAATATTCTATGTCCTGTATGACAGAATACACGGTAGATTTTCAGTCATCTTCGCGTTTATCTTGGAGACTACATTTTATATTCATCGGCAATTAACCTAGCTAACGTGTACTGTCATAAAATTGACTATGTAATTAGTATACGATTACCTATAAACAGTTTTGATTGAATAATGTGTACATATTATAATAAAAATAATGAATACTTTACTATATAAACTTTAATCCGCTGGTATACGTTGATCAATGGTCTGTCATCAACTTAAAATTAATTCACATAGGGATCAGTTTTGAAAAAATTAATGTGTTTTGTAATTTCTGAGTTTTCAAATCGTGTTACTTATGAGTTATGACCTTGATCACGAAACTTTAAGACAAAAATAAAAATATTACAATAGACTTGTTTTAAACCGTGTATGAGGTTTTAATTATTGCAGAATTTTACTTGTCAAGGGATTGATGTACACAAACATATTATCTGCGTATAAGTTTGTCTTAGGTAATCAGATTGATCGGTCCAGGAACGTGATTTACTCATAAGTGTAAAGCACTTAATGTGTAATGTATACTAATTATGTTTGTACACAACAAATAGACGGCATAAATTAAACAATTTATTTTATAGTTATTTTTATTACACTTTGTTGATTTCATGTGTAGTAACCAGTAAGAAAGCAAAACATCCTATAACCGATACGACGATTGCCGGTCGGATTACATCATTTGAATAGCATCTTAATAATATTATATTATTATGTTAACCACGTCGACCTACAAGGGACTCAACCGCTAGTATGCCCAATACTATAATTATTATATACATTCGACGCGAAACCGCTTCTTCTTCTTCTTATTTGTATTTTAATATATTTAGTCATATACTTTAATATATTATTATGAATAATTATTATCCGTCGTGAGAACGTGGCCAATATAGTATTTTTTTTATAGTTGCTGTATTACCACCGCGCCCCGTGTGTGTCAATAAAACTCTTAGCAAATAAAAAAATAAATACATTTTACCTCTACATGAAAAAAACTAGAATCTTGCATATGTTTTTGGGCTAAGAAGACAATTCTATGCTCTTCGGTAAGGGAATATCCCTTTTCTGACACTCCCCACAACTTCACCCTTATCCTCACATTAATTTTCCGGATATCAGATATTCAGATAATTAATATTATTTATTGTATTAATATTCTATTGGCTTCTTATAATATCCTACCCCTATGACCTAAGCTGTAATAAAATATTTTGGACCATTCAGGTAACATTTACATATTTTATGTAACCAATACCGAACGTGTGATAATAGTTCATACATATATTATTATATGTAATATGTATATTATTTCCCGCTTGTTTTTCGACTCAATTGTTTGATATTTATTGATGATGGAAATTAGAAACAATAATATATTCATTAAACGCACGCACACAGTGTATGACATATTTCAACGGGCCTGCGTTTAAATTTTAAATTTTATTAATTTATATAGGTTGGGCACTTGTCCCTCTATTTCCCAGCCGAGCACCGCCC